CTGCAAATTTTTCCCAATAAAGCTGTGCATCTAAATGTGAATGGATGAAACATATTGCTTTGGCTGCAGCCTTAGTAAAACTATTCAGTCTTTATGAAAAGAAAAATCCCATTATGTAATGAACTGTAAGCACTGTGAGGCCATTTGAATGCTAATTACCTGTGAGTGTTTATGTTCAGCCGCTTCTGCACCATATGTAGATTGCAGCAAGCAAGACTCAGTTCTGTATTCCATAGGATAGGATGTGTGGCACGGAGAGTTTTTATAGGATGTGGCTTGCTGCCCATATACTTCCTTGCAGCCCAATGTACCTGCATAGACAGAAGGTGCTATGTGAAGAATTATTACATGCAAGTTGTGATTTAGCTAGTAACCTGGGCCACTTCCTAACCTTTGTTCACCTGTACCAGCATATACTAGAAATACTTAAGGCAGCTCATACAGTATGTTCTGCTCATGCCCATTGCAGACATCTCTTTAAAATGTCTTTATAAGGCTCATCACTGTTTTGGAACCGTTCCCTATTCATAAGCATAGCAGGGCATTATTTGGCTCTAGCTGCTGTACTGGGGATGGAATTACATTACTGATGAGTGATCTCTTCTCAATTCAGAACTGGGCTTAGTTAATAGGAGCTGTTTTCCAAAACAATTTGAAATTGATCTGTTTCCTAGGCTAAATTCAGAGACTTCATTCTGCTTGATAGGACACCAGTGTGTGTGTGCGCGCGCACGCACGCACACACATACAAATTGCCCTTCTCTCCCATGGCCACCCATGAACCCTGAGCTCTGTTCTGCTGTTTCCTTCTTCTGTATGTGGAAGCAGCTGTGATGATCTAGGTCTCTGCTTCTCCCTGGTTCCAAGAATGCTGAAACAGCAGTGTGCCAGGTGAAAGGGACTCTGGGAAACACATTGCCTGTACATCAGGAGCTCAGGGTTCCCTGTGCTTGGAACACTGCTGAGCATGCTCACAATAATATCCCAGGCGGCAAGAGCAAATACTGACCATCCTGCTGACTGTACTCAGCTGCCCTGAATGCAGTCTACTCCCAGCGCTCTTTGCTAATCTGTACATGCCTAGAAGATGGGTTTACATTCTGAACCAGTGCCTACTTTGTTTAACTTCTATATCAACTCGCTAGTAGGAAATATGGAGAAAGAAAATGCCCATCCCCCCAAATTGGCTGGTACGCCCCTCCCGGTCCTTTTATATGCGGATGACACAGTTTTAATTTCTTTTTCTTGTGTTGGATTAAGAAAACTTTTGAGATCTTTCACCAAATACTGCAGCATCGAACAATTAACAATTAACTACAACAAATCCAAAGTTATGGTGTTCTCCAAAAAAAGGAGGAGGCACAAATGGAGAATAGACAACCGTTTAATAGAACAGGTAGCAACCTTTAAATACCTGGGTGTAACCTTCCAGGAAAGGGGCTCCTGGCGCTTTCAGATTAATAATACTATTGCAAATGCAGAAAGATCTACCAAAGCGTTAATAAGATTCTTCTATGGGAAAGGAGGCCAGTACATACCGGCAGCCTCCCAGGTCTTTGCTGCCAAAATACTACCACAATTGTTATATGGATCCCAGATCTGCAGTTTTAAAAACCTTACTCTCTTAGAGGCATTTCAAACTAAGTTTTTCCGCTGCCTGCTGGGGATCCCCTCTTGCGTATCCAACATAGCGGTCCGTTTGGAGGTTGGGCAAATTCCTATCAGTACCCGGATATGGATATTGAAGATCCATTACTGGCTAAAGCTTATTTTCTTCCCGGTTGGGCTGGCACCTTTGACCTTATTGGATACCTACCAATCCAGATGGAAAGCTACACTGCTGGAAAAGCTTAAAGGCTTGGGGATCCCACAGCAGACCCTGATAGCGACAGGCTTCGAAAGCTAGGACTACAATTCGCCAGCGTATCTGGGACGTAGAATTACAATGCCACATGAGTGAAATGATCAAACATCCTGCAATAAGGGACTATGGGAGAGGTTTTTCTCCAGCTAACTATCTGTCAGGTCTTCAGGTACCCAAATACAGAAGGTCTTTTACCCTTGCCAGATTCAACGTTCTCCCTTCTGCCTTACTTCAGGGCAGATTTGAGGGTAAACCATACACAGCGCGGGTCTGCCCCTGTGGCTCGTTGGAGGTTGAGACTGCTTCACATGTACTGTTACGTTGCCGTCTTTATGAGGATATACGTTTGACTTTTATTGCACCTGTTTTGCGGAAGTCCAGGAAAGAGTCGGAACACCATGGTTTGTAACCACTGCTAGAGGACAAGAATCCCAAGACTACATTAAATGTAGCCAAATTCTGTGCGGCTGCAATTAGTCGCAGGAAGCAAGTGGTATCCCATGGTGACCAAACCCCCAAATGTTAATTGCAGGGGGCATGCTAATAATTAATTTTAATTTTTTATATTTAAATGCTTGTTATACTTATATTGTCCTCTGTATTTTTGATATATTTTTTTATGATCTGTGATGATGTGTGTGTTAGTGCTGGTCTGTGACCGTATTAATAAATTCATTCATTCATTCTGAACCAGTAAATAGTGATTGATTGGGCAGTGGAGTAGAGAGAAATTACATATCCCAAATGAAGTACAGTGGTGCCTCGCAAGACGAAATTAATTCGTTCCGCAAGTCTCTTCGTCTTGCGAGTTTTTCGTCTTGCGATGCACGGTTTCCCATAGGAATGCATTGAAAATCAATTAATGCGTTCCTAGGGAAACCGCCTTCAGACCAGGTCCGGGGACAGTCTGTCCCCGGACCTCTTCTGAAGGCTGGGGGAGCAAGGGCTTTTCTTCCACCCCAGCATTTTAAAACCCCGGGACAGCGGAGGACTTCTCCGCTGTCCGGGCGATCTTAAAATGCTGGCGGGCGGCATTTAAAATCACCCGGGACAGCGGAGGACTTCTCCGCTGTCCGGGGCAATTTAAAGCCCCTGGGAAGGCAGGCAGGGGGGCAAGACTTTGCCCCCGCCAGCCTTCAGAAGAGGTCCTGGACCTCTTCTGAAGGCGGGCGGGGCGAAAGTCTTTGCTCCCCGCCTTCAAAGCCCTCCGGGACAGGCAGGCAGGGGAGCAAAGACTTCGCCCCCGCCCGCCTTCAGAAGGTCTTCCCTCCCCCGCCCGGCCTGGAGCACCGTTCCGAGCCGGGCGGCGGCGGAGGTCTTCCTCCCCCGCCCGGCCGGAGCACCGTTCCGAGCCGGGCGGCGGCGGAGGTGTTCCCTCCCCGCCCGGCCCGGAGCACCGTTCCGGCCGGGCGGCGGCGGAGGTGTTCCCTCCCCCGCCCGGCTCGGAGCACCGTTCCGGAGCCGGGCGGCGGGAGGTCTTCCCTCCCCACCGCCCGGCCCGGGCACCGTTCCGAGCCGGGCAGGCGGGAGGTCTTCCCTCCCCGCCCGGCCGGAGCACCGTCCGAGCCGGGCGGCGGCAGGTGTTCCCTCCCCCGCCCGGCCGGAGCACCGTCCGAGCCGGGCGGCGGCGGCAGGTGTTCCCTCCCCCGCCCGGCCGGAGGAGCCTTCCGAGCCCGGCGGCGGCGGGAGGAGGTGTCCCCGCCCCGCCGCCAGGCTTCGGAGGAGGTCCGAGGACAGTGGGGAAGACGCGCTGCGCTCCCCGCTGTCCCTGAGATTTCCCTATGGGCTGTCGTCTTGCGAAGCAAGCCCATAGGGAAATTCGTTTTGCGAAGCGCCTCCAAAACGGAAAACCCTTTCGTCTAGCGGGTTTTCCGTCTTGCGAGGCGTTCGTCTTGCGGGGTACCACTGTAACTACAAGCCCACTGATGAAGCAGGGTGAGGCACCTACCTTGCCTCTGCCACTGCCCCGCCGTCTCCGCTGGAAGTGGAGAAGCAGGGCTGGCAGTTGTTTCTGGTGAGATCTTGCGAGATCTCACAGAACACACGAGATTTTGCGAGACTTCACTGAAATCTTGGTGGCAACCGCTGCTGGTACTTTGTGGGTGCCACTGCTGCACAGTGGTGTGGCGGCACAAGGGAGTGGGGTGGCAGAGGGGCAGTGCCAAACTGACTCTGAGGGGTTGCAAAAAAATCCCCAGAGAAGCGTGCAAGGGGTGGAAGGGGAGATTGTTTCATCCAGCAAGCAGAAATGTTTGCACTTATGGAGCAAATCATCCTAGCGCTACTTTGAATCCTACCCTTTATTTACAGGCAACAACCATTTGGGGGATGTCCAATTGGGGGCGTAAAGTGCCATAACGGGCTAACACGTGCTTCACACTGGGAGCCAGTGTGGTGTAGTGGGTAAGAGCAGTGGACTCATAATCTGGTGAACTGGGTTCGCGTCTCTGCTCCTCCACATGCAGCTGCTGGGTGACCTTGGGCTAGTTACACTTCTTTGAAGTCTCTCAGCCCCACTCACCTCACAGAGTGTTTGTTGTGGGGGAGGAAGGGAAAGGAGAATGTGAGCCGCTTTGAGACTCCTTCGGGTAGTGATAAAGCAGGGTATCAAATCCAAACTCTTCTTTTTCTTCTTCTTCTTCCACCGATGCGCTGGGTTATGTTCCTGGATTTATTATTACATTTATATCCTATCTTTTTCTCCAAGGAGCCCAGGGTTGTGTACATGGTTCTTTCCCTCTCCATTTATCCTCATAAAGACCCTGTGTGGTAGGCAGGTTAGGTTGACAGGCTGTGATGGGCCCAAGGTCACCTCGTGAGTTTCATGGCAGAGTGAGGATTTGAGCCTGCCTGGGTCTCCCAAGTTGTGTTCCAGCACCCAGACCACTATGCCATATGCTGTAGTCTGGATATCTCCAAGAACACACCTGTGTGCTCAGCAGGTGTGTTTCAGCTACTCATTTGCCTTTGGTCATCTGTTCCCTTGGCCTTCCAGAAAGTCACTTGTGTGAGAGCACCTTGCATGGCATGATTGGCTGAAGACGTGGCGGCTGACTTTGTGTCATTTCACACAACAGTATTTTGAGTCTTTCCTGTTTGTTTGTTTGTTTGTTTGTTTGTTTGTTTGTTTGTTTTTGCTGTGCCATGTTGTTGATTTCTGTTAGAGCAAAAACATCAGGTACGTTGTGTCTCTAAGAAACACAGACATTCCCCATCCAGGCATTTTAAATATATATGAATCAAATGCATCAGGCCAGTTTGTGGTGTCTGAATGGAAGTCTTTAGTTTATGAAAATTATAATTATTTAGATTAAAAAAAATTTTTTGGTCCGCAGTCAGCTTGAAATGTTGCAAAAACTCTGCAGGTGCACACTGGTATAACAAAACCATTGAACAGATGGTGGAAGGTAACAGGCCAACTCAAGGGATTAAATGCAAGGCTTTTGAAATTTAAAATTAAAGCTGGGTGATCTTGGGGAAGAAAACGTGCTTGCCAAACATGCCTGCTCAAAGGAGGGGGGGGGGGAGTTCTTCAAGTTCTCAAGACAAGCTGACTTTGATTCAAGTAAGGCCCCAACGCCTGTGCATTTAGGGTACTTGACAGAGCTGGAAACAAATAGAATGAAGCAAAAATAAGATATATCAAATGATTTGGTTTGTCCTTATCTTCAGTAACATTTAATGCTTCATTTTTTGCATGGCTTGGACAGTCATAGTGCCTTAAGTGTCTATACAACGGTTCCTTGGTTCTCGAACTTAATCCGTTCCGGGAGTCCGTTCGACTCCCGAAATGGCTCAAAAACCAAGACGCGGCTTCCGATTGGCTGCAGGAGCTTCCTGCACTCAATCGGAAGCTGTGGAAGCCATGTTGGACATTCAGCTTCTGCAAAACGTTCGCAAACCGGAACACTCACTTCTGGGTTTGTGGCGTTTGGGAGTCAATTTGTTTAGGAGCCAAGCCGTTCGAGTACCAAGGTACCACTGTACTAGTAGAATAATTCAAGGATTTGCTGTTCAATAGCATTCCTGACCTGCTAGCTCTGGGATAGCCATTGTGGCACTCTCCAGATGTTGTGGTGTTGAACTCTCATCAGGCCCAGCTTGTATTGCCAATGGTCTGAGAGATGTTGGACTGAATTGTAGTCCACAATGGGGGGGGGCATACGTTGGCTACTGTCGTGTAGTTGTTCACAGGCCCTTTCATGGATACAGATTCCAGATGCTGAAAACTCAGGTGCTAAAAACTTAGTTTAGCCTTAGTCATTTGTATCAGTGATCTGTAAGTGACCCAGAGTGAGAAAACTCACCTAGAGCAGTTTGGTTATCTATATGGGACAACATATGTGTGATATGAAACTCCTAGTTATCTCCTAGATAAATTTGCAGCCAGATACTTACCATTCCAGCTTACTCCCAGTACCTATTCCACGTAGCTAATCCATGAGTTAAGCAGGCTCGCCTGGCACCTTCATTGTACACCTTTAGATGCCAGGTGAAAATGTTCCTCTTCAACTAGACCTTTGGCTGATTAAGACCCTATATCCTTTTAAATGTGTTTGTGGGAAGGGGGGGGTTATTGGTTTGGTTTGTTCTTGCCAGTGTGGTGTAGTGGGTAAGAGCAGTGGACTCATAATCTAGTGAACCGGGTTCGCTTCCCTGCTCCTCCACATGCAGCTGCTGGGTGACCTTGGGCTAGTCTCTCAGCCTCACTCACCTCACAGAGTGTTTGTTGTGGGGGAGGAAGGGAAAAGGAGATTGTTAGCCGCTTTGAGACTCCTTAAGGGGAGTGAAAGCCGAGATATCAAGTCCAAACTCCTCCCCTTCCTCCCTCCTCCTCCTCCTCCCCCTCTTCTTCTTCTTCTTCTTCTGTATTCTTCTTCTTCTTCTGTATTTTGTGTTTTTATCTTATATTTTTAATAAATATAATAAATAACAACAGCAACCCAATGCATACATACTTTCTTGGGAGCAAGTCCCACTGAACTTAATAGGACTTACTTTTCGGTAGGCGTGAGGTGGTGCTTCACTTCTTTTGTCAATAAATATTCACATTTGTCCAGAATTCTAACTACCCGAATCTTTTGGACATCCAGTCCATTTAAGTAAATGGCACTGAGTTGCAGGATGCCCCCCCATCCCCCCCCCCCAAAGTGTGATTTCTTGGTACTTCTCTTCTTGCCTTAAATGAATATTCAGTTTCTGATTTAATTCTTGATTTCTCAATTGGAGCTGCTGCGCAAATCTCCGTTCTTTGAGATGCATCCATTCACTCATTCGGAAACAGAATGGTTTTCTCTCTCGGTCTTTCTTTCCAAACAGTAAAGGAAATTAGTTTTGGAATAACCATCATAACCCTGGGACTTTCTGTTCTAAATGTCACCTTTATGTCAGGAGCATTGTGGCCTGCTCATAGAGCTATTTCAATTTCTCTCCGAAGCTGGGCATTGTTTTCTGCAGTCCCCCCCTTCTATATTATTTTTATGGTCATTCTTAATTGGGAGCCTGATGGGAGCATTTAAGCTTACAATGAAGAAAAAAAAAAGCCTACTGGGTAGAAAGCAGCAATCTCAGAAGCTTTGATGGCCTTGTTGGCCAGAATTTGTAACTCCGGTGACCTGTTTGCTTACAGCTCTATTTGAAATAGAAATGGCTGGTAATATTGTGCTGTGTTTGCTAGAGCCCTTGTTAATACATTAGATAACCTATTAATCAGAACTTTATAGTTCTATGCAAAATGTGCCTGGAGGACAATTTAATCACTTATTACAGCTGGTTTATATATTTACTTTCCCTCCCCCCCCCTTCCCATCATAAGCAGCATGTTCTTTAACAAAAAATAAAATAAAAATGAAGTTGTAGGGAGAAATGTAGGTTGAACATGGCAAATTCATTGTTCCACTGAAGGCTGAGACCTTCAGCTAGTTCAGAATGCAGGTGTTGCCCGGGAAAAAATACAACCTCGGCTATTGTTAATAGGTTTGGAAATAAATGAGTGAGGCTGCCATCCACAGAAACCTTTAGTAAAAGAAAACATAATTTGATTATTGCTTGAGGGTGGGGGGAAAGGGGAAAAAAAGGCACTATAACTGAATGACTGCCTTTCATTTTGCTTTCTTACACCTGCCGGATGATTTTTTTGAGGGGAGCCAAGTCATTGCTTAAAGACTTCAATTAGCAATATCAGTTATGGAGGGAAACTTCAGCGAATGTCTGCCTTCCTCCATCCAAAGCTGAAACCTTTCAATGCAAGACAGCTGATTTGGGATGCTTTAGTTGGCAGCCACAGGCTGGCAAGCTGAACAGATATAAATTAACAAGAAAAGGTTAAATCAGAGTAAACTGAGTTTGCATCAACATCTACAGGCTAAAGTAAATTCTGAACCGAGGCCTTCGCTCTGCCCTTTCTTTTTGCTTCTGGAAAATCCAGCCATGTGCTGCTGGGGCAAACCCTCAGTAGTTTTATAGATTCTTCTCTCCCTTCCAGATCTTTTTCTCTCAAATATTAGATACCACCCTAACATAATTGGGGATTTCCAATCCTGTTGTTGTATCAATAGAATTCGATCTTCAATTCTCAAATTGGCTGTCATGGCTTTTCTTCTCTTGTGTACGACTGGAGCAGGAGTTTTCAATTCCATGGTGTTTCTAACCCATTCACAAGGAGGTATCCGGCATGTGAGCAAGTTTGGCAGGGTCATGGACAAGCTCAATCCATGACAGCATTTCCTGGGATGATGCCCATATCAGAACCACATTCAACTCAAGGGCTGGTAGCAGCATAGATCCCTCACATGGCCTGTATGGAATGATAGTTACTCCCTTAGGGGAACCATCTCCTTCCCACAGGAAAAGGAAAAAAAACATATTTATGCTACTATTCCATGAAGATGAAGTTAAAGACTGGGCAAACTGGGGGAGCAGACTTGTAACATTTATGGGTGCAGTACTCAAACCCAGTCTTGGTGGGACATCGTGAACTATCTGAAGATAATATATAAGACATTTCCAGACTCTTCTCTTGCTCTGGGTATCCCTCTCAATATCCTTGTGGCACCTTATTCCTTTTATAAACTGACAGAGGACTTTACACCTACGAAGGTCTTTAAGCAGTTTACAAATAGAAAAACCCAAATACAGAAGCATTAGAATATAAACATTCAATATTAAAATGCACAGTAAAACAATCCCATTAAATATAAAAATGCTCTGCCTTCATCTCCCTCTATCCCTGTAGTTACACTGTGCCTGAAGATCCCCATTTCCTCCTCAGTCTTTGCTCCCTGATCCCTCTCAATTCCTTTACCCTTCATCACACTTTTGTCTCTCTTACATTGTGGTCATACTTATCCCCCCCCCCCAGTCTATTACAGTGGTACCTCGGGTTAAGAACTTAATTCGTTCTGGAGGTCCGTTCTTAACCTGAAACTGTTCTTAACCTGAGGTACCACTTTAGCTAATGGGACCTCCCACTGCCGTGCGATTTCTGTTCTCATCCTGAAGTAAAGTTCTTAACCCAAGGTACTATCTCTGGGTTAGTGGAGTCTGTAACCTGAAGCGTCTGTAACCTGAGGTACCACTGTACTATTAGCAGCAGTAGTAGTCATCATAATATTTCTATGTGCACAAATATAGCAGTGTAATTTAAAATGTTGTTTTTATCTCTAGGCATTCTGATATACTTTTGTTTTACGCATTTGGGTCCACAAAGTTATAAATGCTAACCACCACAAGATAATGGAAGCTTCATAAAAATCTCTATAGGACAAAGAACTGCAAGGCATTGTGGATTTATATTTTACCTTGCTAACCTGAAAACCTAGAGTTTTTACTTTCAACACCACAATTATTATTTTTGCTTCTTCTTTTTTTCTCTGGGATTGTTAGGGTTAATGGAAGAAAGGTTATTTCCTCATTTCTCCCATATTTGACATTACTGTATATATTATGTACACAGTGCATAAGACCTACAGCATATGAGACTATCTCATCGCATATAACAGAGAAATTGTGTTTACCATCTCGATGGGAATTTCTGATGGAAAACCGACAATATTTGCAAAATCCAAATCTCATAAATTTTGCTATGATTTGTGTATTGGTGTAATTTGCATTGCTGTGATGGAGTGTACTTGTGAAATCTCCAAGAAGTCAGAAACCTCGATAAGGTGTCAAAGTGCCATATCACAGAACTAAAGAAGTTCAGGTCTGGCAAAATGTTTTTAATTTGTTTTTATTAATCTTTAATATATTCCCAGCTCCACAGTGGTTAATGCTGAATGTTTTTTCTTCTTCCAAGGGCGTTCTGTTTGCTGTAATGTTTTATCCCATTTCAAAGATAATATTGCATGTAATCCTATGAAACGATACAGTCACTAATTTGAAAATTGCTAGGGAGTTAGTGTTTAAGACCGTAATTACTTACTACTGTTAATACCTTGCTTTCGACTTTAGTTCATCCGATTCTTACAATAGCTTTGCAAGAGGAGTGAGAGTGGAGATAATAAGAGCCTTTTAGTGTAATGCAGCAGAATATTAATATCTGGGTCTTACTTGTGTGGTTTTTTTTTTTTTAAAGATTTACAAAGTCTGAGACTGTGAAACTAAATTATGGACTAACACACAAAGAGGCCTAATTTGCCGGGAAGAATACTCACATGCAAGGAACTTGTTCTTTAAAGCTCTAGAGGAATACAGTACATTTATCAGCTTTGAGTGGGTATCATTGTGTTTATAACAGAGTGGAGGCACCATGCAATTTTGCTCTTGAAATTGGTTTATATAGATGACTGGTTGCTGTGAAGTGTATGTCAGAGTTCCATGCAGCTGTTATAAAGTAGTACAATTGTCATCGCTTCTTACATGGTTGTTGAGAAGAGCCTGAGAGCCCAGCTCAGTCAGCTGTTGAATAGATAACCCAACACAGTTAACGTGGCATACATTGTAAAGAATTACATGCCTGCTACAATGAGCTTTGGGCTTTTGGTCTAGATAATAATCCTGGTGGGTGTACCACGTGTAGTGGCTGTCTGATCACTCAGATACGACTGATGAAACATAAAGAAAAATGTCAGTCGACTCAAAGAAAAATGCTGCGGCAAGTTTGTTTAAGGTTCATGGTAAACGGCGGTGGGTTTTTAAATTTAACCCTGAGTCTACTGAAGGCTGAGCTGTCAGGCTCAATGCATAGCTGGAAGTAAGCTGGGGATGGAATCCCCTCGCAGATTACATTGGCAGTTTTGTCAGCGGTGACAAAAAGCATTGGCCATCTCTTCTGATCACAGTGGCCTTGTCGCCTCCTCTCACCGCAAACCGAGGCCTCGTGTCAGGTTACGTTTGCAATGCGTGAACCTAACAGCCCTAAGAGGGATAAGTGTTTGTGACTTCTTAAGTGCCAATGGCACCTCTCATTTCACCAGATGGCAACACACTGGAATAATCAGAGTGGCGATATGGACTGAATTCGAGAAGCAGTAATTAACAGACTTGTCACAGCTTAATAAATGGCACCATGCGGTGAGCCACTCAAAGGGGCCGCAAGAACTTGAAAGTTTAGCGCGCAAGAATAAAAACATATTTTGAAGTTATTTTCCACTGGAGCCTTTTATCACGAATATTTTAA